GTCCCCAGACAGAGTGTCCAGACTCGCCCTGGTTCCGACCCACGGAGATAGCCTCTTCCCCAGGTGTTGGGGCCAGGGGCGTCCCCGCTCCAAGCTTTGTCTGCCCCTCTCCGTCCCCGGGCCTGTCCACCCCTGTGGCCCACCACCACAGGCCCACCTGCATCCACTTATCTCCACCACTGGGCCTGTATGTCCCTGTCAACCGCCGCTGGGTCCGTCTACCTCTGCGGGCGGCCAATGGGCCTGTATGTCTCTGCCGGCTCAAAATATGTTTTAAATAAGAATAAAACAATGTTTCTCTATGGCTTTTCAAGAATCCTTAGTATTATTTATCTCTCCATCTCCCATTTTTCCCTATATTATCCTTCCCTCCTGGTTAAAGTCCAGCAGACAGTCATGAGTACCTGTATGTAAGCAAAGCTTTTTTCTTAAAATAGATTCTTCTCTGTTAGCACTTAGGCATCTGTACTGACCTGCCCTTAGGGTCCTGACAGGATACATCCACACCTGCAACCACTAAGAGCCCCCCCCCCATTTTGTGCATTCTCTAAGTCTTCTTATTAAAGAAGGCCTTGCCCACCTCCTGTCTCTTTCTCTTTCTTCACTCTTGTCCCCAGGGACTGGTCTTTACCCCTCCTCTTTCCTCTCCTCAATAAACATCCCACTGGGCCCTATTGTCTGGTGTGACTCCTTCCCATTGTTTTTAAAATACAACAGTCTCTTATACAAAACATTCCAACCACAGTTTCCCCTCCCTCTCCTCCTCTCAACTCCCTCCCATCTCTCCCCATCCCCAGATCCACTCCCTCTACATTTCCTCTTCATAAAAGAGCAGTCTTCCAAGAGACAACAGCCAAACATAATAAAACAGGATACAATAAGACAAGGCAAAAGTCCTCATACTGAGGCTGGACAAGGCAACTCAGTAGGAGGAAAAGAGTCTCAAGGGCAGGCCAAAGAGTCAGAGACACCCCCACTCCCAGTTCAGAGTCCCACAGAAACACCAGGCTAATAGTCATATGTGTGTGTGTATGTGTGTATGTGTATGTGTATGTGTATGTATGTATATATGTATATGTGTATGTATATGTCCTCTGCGTGCAGAGGACAGGGTGCAGACCTCACATGCCCCATGTTAACCCAGCTTAGTTGATTCAGGGGCCATGTTCTCCTGGTGTCCTCCATTCTCTCTGATTCCTACAATCTTTCCTCCTCTTCTTCTACAGGGTTACCAGGTCTCCAAGGGGAGAGACCCAAAGGAGACCTCTCTCTGCATAATGTCTGGCTATGTAAGCGAAGCTTGTAATGTGTTTTTCTTATTTTTACTACTTATTACCAACTCTCTATTCCTCAAGCCAAGAAAACAATCCATTTTCTATTGTCCAATATGTTATTTCATCACAGATTAACTTTATCTCAGTTAATCATTATCAATTAAATTTATCTCAATCTGAACACTTCTAACATATAGTTAATATTCACCATAGTATTGCACAACTTGAAATAACCCTCTATGCCTCCCATCATACACTTATGATCTAACTGTCATCTTGTCTTTTTGTTTCTAAATCCCAGTGTCACAGTTTTTTCATCTGTATTTTTGGAAACTTGAAGCAGAATAGAAAATCACATAGAAATACACACATATAAATGTATGTTGTATGTGCCCACACAGAAGCATGTAATTATGATTTGATGTCATCCTTGTGTTTGTGTTTGTACAACTTTCTTCATTTGAGACATAACACTGAAAATTAACATCTATTAGAAAACTGTTTTTAACTTGTGATAGATCTTTAATTGGTTCTTTGACAAATTCATGCATATATAAAGTGCATTCAGATATTATGATTACTGTAAACCATATTCTCTACTCCCTCTCCCACTTATTAGCCACACCTCCTCCATCTTTCCCTCCACACCTCCTTTTCAAACATTCATGCCTCTTTTTTTTCTTGTTTGTTTGTGTGTGTGTGTGTGTGTCTGTGTGTCTGTGTGTCTGTGTCTATGTCTGTTTTATTTTGTTTCATTTTTTGAGATCAATTGAGCTTAACTAGGATCATCAGTGTGACCATGGCTTTGGAAAAAAATGTATTTGTTTGGGACTTTAATAATCACTACTAAGCCCTGTATGACAAACACAACACTTGTGAAGCATATAATTGGCACAAAGTGTAGGTTTTGAAGCTCTGGTGCCAGTTTTTTCAGTTTAACTTCAGCATATTCCTCAGTTAAAGCAAAAGCTATAAAAACCTTATGATTTAAAGCTAGTTAAAGGTATGAGAAGTGGCTAAGAAAGGAATGGCTAAGAAATGAGCTCTGGTTTTAGAATAATCTAAGCTCAACTTACATACCACAATTTAGAACTGACAAACTCTTCAGCAAGCTCCTTAACCTTTGTCAGGATACTTCAATATAAAATGAAACTAACAGTGAGGCCCACAGAAGGATAATGAAATCATCAAGTTAAGTATATGAGTTCAGTTTTAAACTTAGGTTTTCCAAAGTTTTCAAACCAACAATATTAACAATAGTACCATCAACAGCAAGTGTTTTAAATCTACTGAGAAAGTATGAAACAGGAAACAGAACCTATCGTAACTGTCACATTCCTCATCTGGTGGATGGCATCCAAAGCCAAGATATAGGAATATATTATTATATGGATGTATAATATTATATGGATGTATAATATATGTGGATGTATATTCTCTTACTCTCATATCAGGTAGGTGTGGGAGATAAATCAACAGCTTCATGGAATACTGGAGCCAATATCTCTTGAAAGAATCTCATAATCTTAGGCTCCAAACTTTCTGTATAAGTTTGTCTGCTCTGAGGGCCAGTACTGTGTCTGCCTACAGGGTATTCATATTTCCAAAACTCAGATGAATTTCCATAAAAGGGCTCATTTTATCATGAAGGAATGTGACATGTCAGTTCATCAGGTAACCAAGGTAACTATCCTAATAGGCAGTACACCAATGGTCAAATTATCTAGAAAAGATTAGAATAGATTACTTATCTTTCACCTGTACATAGACTATAAACTTTTTGAGTATTACCTGGAGGACAATACATGCCAATGTAGAAAGAAAGGCAATAAATCTAGGAGGAAACGAATTAAGTACATTTGTAAAAATGGGGTTATAGGAAACATTTGGTTATTTATTTTTCCCTGATTCTCAGAAGTAACTCCCAATGTGGGGATGAAAAGCTCTTCATTGCAAAGGAACCTCAGTGGTGTTATACCGAAGGACACCATTAATCCCAGCACTTATGTAACGTTTGAGCATACGTGGGCTTTGTTCTGGTATAGGGAAACAAAACTAACTCACAGGCTTCCTTTTATCCATTCTCAGATGATTTTCTGCTCAGGCTTTTCAAGTTCAACAAAATGACTTTGATGTTTTCAGCTCTAATTATATTGTGGGAATACAGTTTTCAAAAACATGCATCGTGATAGGATTAGAACAACAGGATGTAAGTTGTTAGAGTAAAACGTACCTGCCTCCCTCTGTGGGTAATTAGAACAAATGAATATGGAACCTGAATGAGGTGGAAAGATCAGTGCCTTCTCCCATCAGGCCGGATAACTATGATCACAACAGGCTGCCTCTGTGACTGCACAGTATTGGGAGTCTGGGCAAGAGTCCACGGAAGAGTACATTTCCAGGAAAACTCAAGCTACTTGGACCCTTAGCTGTTGACATCCATAATGTCATCTTTTGCTTTATTTGTTGATATTACAATTTTGAACTCAATATGCCTCCGATTCAAGAAAAATTTAAATGACAAGAATTTAAACACAAATACTTTATTGGTAAAATAAATATGAAAGATATCTTTAGAGTATGTTTCTATAATATGTAGGAAGTAGATAAACATTTTAAAAAATATTTATTGGGTGTTTAATCAGGATGTTAACAAGTATTTCATACTAATTAGAAAGGCTGGAGACATGTCTCAGTGGTTAAAAAACATTTGCTGCTCCTCCAGAGGACCCATATTCAGTTCTCAGCATTTACATCAAGGGACTCATGACTGTCTCCAGCTCCTGAAAATCAACCACCCTCTAGTGGACTCTGCACACACACCATACACTCACAGACTTATACACAGACACATAAAAATGAAATTTAAAAATGTATAAGTTAGAAAGGTTGATATATTTAGATAAGCATATGTTATAACTGTAAGTCATGACTGCCATAAAATTATGCTAAGGCACATATTAATTTATGCTTTCTATTCCAAAAATATTGAAGCTAAGCAGTTATGCTTATTTAAATCAGTAAAATAGAATGGATATTAAAATATGTTAACAGTTTCAGATTTCTTCTTTTCTAAATTAAAATAACCCTAAAATGAATAAGCACCAATGTGATAAACTCAGCTTTGGTTGATTTCTCTGGCTCCCCTTTATTTTCTATTTCTTTTGAGTAGCTTAACAATTCCCTCCCTGCCCCCCAAAAAGGAGGCAAATATTAATGTTCGGCTTATTTTTCCATTACACTTTGCATATGTTAGTGTATTTTCTATGAAACTATCAATTGCATGTCCACTTAGAAATTAAACTGTCCAAGCTGATTTTATTCTGGAGTACAGAGACAAAGTTTCTAACTGCCTGTGAGTCTGAGGTTAAAAATATGAATGCTTTGTTACAGCTTTTGCCAACAAGAGAAACTGCCCATGACTTTCCAGTCCTGTGTGATCACCAAAGAGTGCCAGGTGTCTGAGTGGTTGGAATGGAGCCCATGTTCAAAAACATGCCACGATGTCACATCCCCCGCGGGCACTCGTGTAAGGACAAGGACCATCAGGCAGTTTCCAATTGCAAGTGAAAAGGAATGTCCAGAACTTGAGGAGAAAGAACCCTGTTTGTCTCAGGGAGATGGAGCTGTCCTCTGTGCTACGTGAGTAAAACAAAGAGTGTGGTGTGCTCGGATGTCATGGCCCCTTCAGCTCTCTGACCTCACAAATATTTGAAACTTGTTAAGTCAGTATTCTGACTCAAAACACTATTTCAGTCTCAACAGTATAGAAATGGTGAATTTTCTTGAATGTTTTAAGTAGAAAACTAGAATATCTCATTACAAACTTTATCCATTAAAAATGTGCTTCTACAAAATTAAAATGTAGTTAACAACTTCACTTCCAAATTTCTGTAAAGGCTAGACATTTAACAGCAATTCTTTTAGTGTATTCTATAGCATTAGCTGGTAAATTCTTTTAGTAGATGGCACACAATGAGAACATTAGATTGGACAGGTTACATATGTTTTTGTGGCAGTGAGTCAACACTATCAGGAGAGGTATAGGTATGTAAATGAGTGTGTCCATGTTCCAATAAAACTTTATTGACAAAAGCAAGAGATGTTGATTTTGTCTTTGGTCCACTATCTGTCAACCTCCAAACATTGAAATCACAGATTCCTGTGACCTACTAATTCATATATATATATATATATATATATATATATATATATATATATATATATATATAATTTTAATTAAATAGAGTAAAGAACTACACCAAAATTAAGGGGATTTTAGGTGTTGGGAGTTGAAGATGTTTTGTTCATTTAATTTTTTTGTTTGTTTCACCACCAGCATATATTTTAGGGCCTAACACACATTAAATACTTAATTAATGTTCATTGACCTCAGATGAAATAAGACTAGTTCTGAAATATTTACCAATCTAACAGTATTTTCCTTAAAAATACTGTTTCCAAGATATTACAATGAGCTTTCTTAAAAATATCTCTGATTTATCTAAATACAGAATATACATAAGGCAACACAGAGAATCTTAGTATGCACACTCCACTGTAAGCTTCTCTGGACTACCCACACATTCAAAGGACATGGATATAGTTTGAAATTCATAAACCAATGAAGAGGCAAATTAGTGCTACTAGTATATATAGACATGATAACAAAAATAGCAATGGCTTGTATGAGGTCTTCTACAGTGTTTTTCAATCATCCACAATCTTCACAGGTAAGAAGGGACTGGAAACTCTAGTTCCCTCCTTATGCTCTCTGGATCCCACTGACTGTGCTGGTTCTTCTACATTACAGGGGGTCAGGGACACTTCCCAGACTTCTGGATGTTGTCTCTCCCAGCAGTTTCTTCTGCTTTTGTCTAACTGTGGTACCTCATTTTTTATCCTCTCAAATCTTCAAGTACCACTAATAAACACATACAGATATCGTTGGTACTCTTTATCTTCTCCATTTCCTAGGGTAGCACTTTTCTTTTACTATATTAACTATTTATATTATTGAAAGTCTGTTTCTATCACAGGACTCCTTAGTATGACCTAAACTGAAATGCCATTCTAGATTTTTTTAATGTGTCGTTTTAACTACAATAGAAAATTAGTTCTTCAGTTTTACTTTCCTCTACCCAATTCCAACAACCAAATATCAATTACCCTTGTATCTAGAAATGCTCTTCCTTCACAAACAAATTTGAGTGCTGTTCCTTGATGGCCAATCCCACAACTGTGCATCCCCAAACCCCCACTTATAAAAATGAAAATAGAAAGGAATCTCAATTTCACTGGCAAATTACTCACCATTGAAAGAGCCATGCACCCAGAACAGATATCTAAGGGCACCTTTAACCTTTCTGTCTAATTGAGATGAGCACATCCATTTATATCTGTGTTAGCTATTAATTTGATCCATGGGGAAGCATCACAGTTAGACTGACAAAGTGCTACTTGAGCCATTTCCTCTGGGCTTTTAAGGTGTCTACTTTCCTAGAAGTGGAGAAATGCTATCACTTTCTATTGTTGGTGACATGAGGAAATGCTTCCCTGTCTATCTCCTTCTAGGGAAAGTCAGGCTGACAACCCCAACATTGCTTTCAAATCATAATCAGGGATCATCTTTTCTGCGCTTTACTAAGAGCATCGTCAGCTCTTCCCATCATTCATTGGCATTCATCAAGGATGCTGGGCTCTACAGAGCATGTACATAAAAGACTTCTGATTCTTGACAGTAATGAGAAAGCTCTGAATTGCTCTGTTATATTTTTAAATCTGGCATGCAATTATAATTTTGCTCCAATATGAATAAGCAATTTTCATGCATTTTATTAAAAGCAAAACAAGTGTTTGGGCTCGTCATCACTTAGAATGTTTGGTATTCTCAGATTCGGCCTGCCTTTGTTTATAAGCATTAAGAAAGGGCAAGCTTGAGTTCAGTTTAATTGCACATAAAATTTCATGTTTTCAGCATTATGTTCTTATTTCATAAAATATTGATAAGTAACTTCTAGTACTTGCAATTAAAACAGGCACACTCTGCATTTAACCCCTCTAAAGCAGTCCCAGTTGAGGACAAGGAAGCTAATGAAACTGAATCTGCATCAGACTGGGAGTCTGTACTGGATCCAGAAGAAACGGTTTGAAGTTTGAGTTTTACAAGGAAATCTGAAAAGAGTGGAGAAACGTTTTCCTGAGTATACATTTCTACCACCCTCTGATTCTCTTCATCTAGGTATGGATGGAGAACTACAGAGTGGACTGAGTGCCACGTGGACCCTTTGCTCAGTCAGCAGGACAAGAGGCGTGCCAATCAGACAGCCCTCTGCGGAGGTGGCATCCAGACCCGGGAGGTATACTGCATACAAACTAACGACAACCTGCCCTCCCACTTAAACACACAGAAGGACAAAGAAGGTATGTGATACTCCCCTCAGATGGCTCGTTCATGAAGAGTGAGCAGGTGGTTGCCCTTGAGGAACATAAACCAGCCATGGAGGACAGGAAGAGCCCCCTACTGTTCATACTATGGTTAGAGTCCAAGCCAACTAAAGAGTAACCGACATGATGGTTGGTAAGAAACTTAATACAGCTCTCCCTTTGTCAGGTTTGATTTGTTTTATAGGTATCTTAAAAAATAATAAAAGCCTCTAGCATCAAAATTTACAAGGAGTAATTAGTTACAAAACAAAAATTTTATCTTGTAAATAGATGCATATAGTGCAAATATATGAAATGAGAAAAATGAATAGGAAGCTCATGATCAACTTTAAAAAAATCTCATTTTGTTAAACTGTAATTAAAAATAAACTAATCATGATACTGACATTTTCTGTGTATTTTTGGTTTCCTGTTGTTGCTATTTTGTTACATATATATTATTTATAATTTAATATTTATAGTTTATTATATATATTAGATTATACAGATTGAGTAGGTTGTTATATATTTCTTAAATATATAAATCTGCTCAGTCTGTATAATGTTACTTAGATGTATATGATTTCAGAGCTGGCCACTTTGTACTGGATAACCAGTTTGGGGATTCTTCCTCGGGGAAGACTATTTCTCCTGCTCTTTACATTCTTTAGTTGCATTCTTTAGTTACATTCTCTAGTTCTTTGTGATGGAATCACCATGAGACATCCCACCTGTATGACAGCATGTCTAATGGTGCCATCCATGTTCAGGTTTTCTTTAGGCAGCCATGTTGACGAGACTTTTCAGGTGTAGTTTCTCTGACATTTCTAGGAGAAAAAATTTCACAACGAACTTCCTGTTTCTCATACAACCTTCCCACATCCTCTTCTCTATGATCCCTGAGCCTTAGATGCCGGAGTTGCCATGGCAGGTACTGGAAATCTGCCAAATACTTGAAATTAGTGAAGTCATGGGTCTTGGAGTAGAGCCGGCAGGTACTATTTACTAAACCAACACAATTCCTAACTACATTCCAAGATTTTGTCCCTATACTCATAGATCAGTATAGGGCTCACCTATCGTTTTTATCTTAATCTCAGTTTGGGGACTAGATGGTTAAGTGTGCAAAAGAGCAAGTGAATTCAAAATGGCCCAGGCTACAAGAGGATCACCATTGTTATTGGATCAAGTTTATACTGAGTACTTTAAAACAGTTCTGTAAGCAGCTGTTTATCTGAGTACCAGCAAAACCCGCAAGACTGATCCGTTCAACATGTGTTTATTGGATATCAGCAAACTGAGAATCACCAAAGATCCAATGAGGTGTATAAATGGGATAATATAATCAACATATATTTCATGTCATAAAATTCTTAAATTCCTCATGATGGTAGAAAAAACAGTAGTTATAACATCAACAATGACCTGTACAACCACGATTTAGAAAATCTCGTGGGAACAGCACTTGAGCAGAATGATGACTGACAAGCTACTTAGAGAAAAGCGGGTGAGGGCAGGGCAGGGGCTGCAGTTTCTGTCAGGCTGAGGGAGTCGTGTGTAGTAAAGCACAACACTAAAGGAAAGTCAGAACAACACACACACACACACACACACACACACACACACACACACACACACACACACACTGAGCGTGCTGCATTTGACAACAGGGAATAGAAGAGAATGTCCTAGGAAGCATGTAGGTTGGAAAATGGGAAAAAAAAAAAACTAGTTGATAAAAGAAGAGAAAAAAGCAGAATATTCAGGGAAGAGTTCTGGGCAAGAATGGTCAGGAAAAGGGTTGGGGCGAGGGCAGGAAGAGAAATGGAAGTTTTTAAAACCAAGATTGGCTCCACTGCCCGAGCAAATGAGGCAATGTCAGTGACCAAAGATAAGTGCTGAAGTTCTGCATTTACAACTTCCAAAATTTAATTGTTCTGCATCCACTAATTTTACCCAGCATGGAAGCTCATTTGGAAATGCAGCCTTAGGTTAGACCTCACTGCTAATGTACCTTGAGGTTGTAAGGAACTAGCATAAAACACAAATGTTAGTACATTAATATTTTCTTGGCCACTTTAATAGCTGTATTCTTAAAACTTTTAGGTAGATTTATTACAGTTGGCTTTTCAGAGTAGTATAATTTCATTGCTCGAGGTAGATCAGATTTTAGTTTCTGAATGTCAATTATGTCTTGTAGGTTATTACTTTCAAAAGATCTTGAGAATTCTGAACTGCAACTGGTTGTGTTTTAAATCATTTTTTTCAGAGTCCCTCACACCTCTTCTAAACCACTGCAAAGAACCAAAAGTAAAGCAAAAAGACAGGAACACAAAAAGAATATCATTATTAAGATGTATCTGTTAGAATAAAGCAAATGCCAAAGAAAGGTCAGTAGATACAAAAGTAATGACTTGACCAAAATGAATATTTATGACTGGTATGTGTGGCATGAGTAACTTAGGAATGTGTATTTCTTTATAGACGGAGAATATTAATAAACCTCTTAGAGGGTAGAAGTTGTTTTATTTTGTTTTGTTGTATGTGTGCGTGTATGTGTGGGGTGTGTGTGTGTGTGTGTGTGTGTGTGTGTGTGTGTGTGTGTGTGTGTTGGGCAAAAACAGCTGATTCTCTTTAAACATTACTGCTTTCCTTCCTCAAAACATACATGTGAGTTTTCTCTTAGGAGCTCTTAACACTTCCCAATAGAAACCCATCCAGTATACCAGCATCCCAGGGTGACATATGAGTTACAAATATGAGCGAATGGAGGACAATTAGACTGTCAGCTGTGAAGACTGTTCACAGCCTATTTTCCTTCAATAAATATGAAAATGCCAAATCTCCTTTATGATAAAAGGGAGAAAAAGGCTTCTCAAACTGCCTTCTACAACCAAGCCCCATTAGAAAACAGTCATCTCAAGAAATCTGGACAGTGTTACCATGAACAAATCACCCCATATACTATCTATACTGTACTTATTTCAAAGAACAAATTCCACTTTCTTTTGCAGAGTCTCACTGTTCTATAGATGAGTCTTTTTCACAAGTAGCAAGGTATTTTTAATACCAGTTGAAACTAATTTGACTCAAAATAAACTTACACACACACACACAAAGAAAGCAGGTGATATGAAGTTCATATAACTTATTTTATTATTTTGACAAGTCGATCTCATAAATTAGAATGTTAATATCCGTATTATCGTGAGGACAGGGCCACCTCTATCACTTTATTCGTTGTTATATGTACTACTGTTAACTAAATTAAACCACACTGGTCACAAAAATACTCTTATCAGCCTTAGTTTTCAGAAAATTAAAACCTAAGTGACTAATGTACACACGTTTAGTATAATATACCATAGCATTCTAATTGTGACAGTCAAATTATCATCACAATATTGTGTAAGCTAGTGGTAGCATCTATAGGCAATATAAAAAGCTATATCCTAATGATATTGGAGGGTGTCTACATTTAATCCATTTACTGCTGTTAGCAGTAGGTAACCCTTGAAATCCAGACAATGTTTCTCTTATAATATCCAGCCAGAGTACAAGTATATCTCTTTAGAAGAAAGGCCTGGAAAGCTCCATACTGAGAAGAATTAGTAGTGGAAAACCTAACATTTTTATTCATCCATGTGATAAGGATTTCAGGCAGCTGTATATGGTGTCCAGCTCATACTAGACAAATCAGCCCTTATCAGAGTATGACAGGATGGAGCCTGTGAGGAAGTGACCCATGTATATCTTAGCAGCTAAAAATATTCCTCATTGGATGCTCATGGTCAGCTGAGTAGGAACAAACTGATTGCTTCCAGAGTTCAAAGAGAAACTAAAGTTGATTTTAAGTACAATGACCTAGGAATCCTTTCATTGGGTGCAGGTTAAACATGGTCTAAATTATTGAAACTAAAACAGTGTGAAACAGTAGATCATACTCAAGATGATTTACATCACAGAAAACTTGAACGAGTGTTCTGTAGGAAGCATATTAATGAAATCTGGATAAGAGTAGAAAGACTTGGGTTACTAAGAAAGACAGCCCAGACTGTGAACCTGTGTGACGAGGTACAACAACAGGAAGGATTGGTGCTTATAAAAGATATTTGGAAGGACAAACAGTTGAACTGGACTGTGTAGAAAGGCTCATAAACTCCTATTTCCCCATGCTCTACCAAGAAAGAGAATAGTCACATTCCTACTAAGTATAATGTAAATTCATTATGCATGTAGCTCTCTATCTATAGTTTTAATAACAAGTACACTAGGGCCAATGCTTTCTCTTGAAAAAGTAAAGAAGAGCTTTGCTTATGGTACTAATTCCCTCTTGTTATAGAAAGTAACTATCACAGAACATCGAAGTTTAATGGTACACTTTTCCTGTCCATCACTTTTGAAATAACAGGTGGGTGGGACTATTTTACATCACTTTTCCATCAGGAATGTACATCAGAGTATCATGAGTCTGGAAGAGACTTCACAGCTTCACTAATGAGATGCTTAACCATCTCAGAAAAGAGTGTGCTTTCACTCTTAGGATCCTAGATGTGTATCAAGCTATCCCATGACATGATAATGGTCTCATGTTGCTTAAGTGTTAATATAATATCATTATTGGTGTAGATTACAGAAATAATAATTACTGACTTCTAAGATTTTTTAGCAGTTATTATTATACCTTATATATAATAACTATGCAAACAGTTATGTAAACACTTTTTACCAAGAGAAATTAAGCACTTTCCATAATTTTTCACATCTCTAAATATTCCATTCTGTGCTTGACTAAGCCTAATATGATAAATTGAAACAGAAATAAAAGGCATGGAGGCTAAATTTTAGAAATATAGCCTACAGTGTAGATGAAATGCAATATAGTATCGGATAATTAATACATAAGAAAACCCTGAACGAATCAGCTCTTTCTTGCCAGTGAGTGCTCTGGAGAGAAGAGGAAGAGCAGGATTGACACCCTCTGCAGGTTCCTCCTG